ATGAAGGCAATTTTAAGGAGGTTTCTTAGGTACGAGAACAAGGCAAGCGTATGAACCAAAAACAGTCATACTCGTGTTTAGCATACTCCTTCTGCAGTGAAATCGCACGGTTCCAAGCAAAGGGTAGCGGCAAATCAAGCGACCCATCCGCCGTGCGCGATCAAAGCGGCAATTGACGGTCTTCCCTTCTCCCATTATAAAGCGACAATTTGCGACTCTCTTGCCCGTCTCCCGTCTTTTCGAAGTGTGGGGTGAATGGGCCGGCAGCTGCAGTAGCAGGCCACTTTCTCCACTCACAAGTGCAAGGGAACTGGGCTGGAGGGTAGCGATACTCGGGTGCATCTGCATACTCCACCCTCGCCATCCTCAGTGCTCGTGTGTCGATACCAAGATCCCGCAATGAAGCATGTACTCGGCGGCAGAGAACACTGCAAGGCGAGGAGGGCGCAGACAAGCAGAGCGTTTGGCTATGGTTAGGTGTGTGGCCGTGTGGTAGCTATGACGGCACTACCGTCGCCCTCCAGCCCTGTTCCCATGCCTATCTGACCTAAGAAAGTGGCACTCTGTTGCAGCTGATGACTCATTGACCTCACATGTGGCAAAGAGCGATTACATGGAAGTGAGTGTATAGTTTCGCTCTTCGATAGCTATTGCGACCCTCTATTACTCGCATAGTAGGCCTAGAATAGCCGAAATAAAGCTGGAGCGCTACATATTTACTTTGTCTCCACAAATAAATCCCAGAACTGGGATTTCCCTATGTCCATCATTTCTGAATGGCACTCTTAATGAAGGAAATTAATTTATTGGATGAGATATGCGCTATTTCTCATGAGCTGATGGAAACCCTTCGCATTTGATTTCATTTTGATTGAATTTCTCCTAGCTCTCCTGGCTCTGGGCCAGTTTCTAGCTTCCAGCTAAATCTTTTTGTGTAGCGTTCTAGACAGACCTTACACGTTTCACCCGTTAGGGGTTTTGGAGTGCCATATTCTCCCAGGGAACAGGATGTGATGTGTTGGAAATAGTGGTGGGCCAAAACGACCACCTCCTCGGGGGAGGTTTTGTACGACCCTCGCCCACGTTAAATGAGGGTCATCTCTCCCCAGCCCCTAACCACACCATGGTCCCACATTTTCCAGTTTTTCCACCCCAGAGAGTTTTCCCAACTTCCTACCACTTTTTCCGGAATTCCTTAAAAATTTCCTTACTTTTACTCAGAAATTTTGCTGTCGAGCAGCGGGGAAGGTGTGGAGAGGGGGTAAATAGTACACATGAAACAGGAAAACACGAAAAGTCAACAACCGAGATAAACTTGTTCCCAACGCGCAACTTTCTCTTAAAGCCACATAAGACCCCCTCTCCCAACAACGACCAAATACGACCCCTGCTCCCCAGCCGAAAAGTACGACCTCCCATGTGTTCCCACAACGATGCTGTACCCTGTCTTCTCCAAGAGTTCACAAGAGTTCACAGGTTTCACCAAGGTGAGATTTGCAAACCAGAAGTTTTGAAGCAACCAAAGTGAAACATGCCCCCCCGTCGGCAAACTGCGCCCCATCGAGCTTCACGCATGACGCAGCGGATTCAAAATGTTGCACCACACTCTACTCGGTTCAGAAACCTTTCTTTGCCAGTTGTCCTATTTTTGTAAGCCAACACGTCAATAATCCCACCCCCAAAACACTCCTAATCTGAACTCCTCCATTTCTAATAAGATTTTTAGGCAATCACTTCTCAAAGAATTATCGAAATTTTCGTGAGTTTCTCTACTTTCACTTTTCATAGAGTTCATATGTCGGGTCCTAATGCCTCTGGTGACGAAATTTGTCAGTGCACTACGATTGCCTATTCAATACCAGCTTTCGGGCCGGGGTGAGCCTTCCATGGTAAACCGCTTGCATGGTAAACTTGTGGTACCTCTGTGCAAGGCCATGGAGTTCAGGAGGAACCAACGGGCATTTAACAGTTTGCAATACCTGTAATTTTGGGACAGACTGTAGGTACAACAATTTATGTAGGGCATGGTAACACTTCGTCATCAAAGGTATTCAAGCTCTCCAGATATGAATTACTATTGTTAGTTGACTGAAATTGAACGTCTAATTTTACAGCCTACCTCCTACAGAAGATACTCATGCCGACATCAAATCCCCAACATCAGAACCTAGCGTATCCAATACGGTAAGCGTTTCTACAGTGTCTTGCATGGATCAATAGGAGTTCTTAAAAATTCCAGGAGAATGGTGCAGAAGAGAACTGCGAATCGCCACCAGAAGCCCAAAACGTGGTGAATCCTTGCGCTGGCCAGAATCCACTTTTAATCTTCTTCACAAGCGGCACAACTGGTTTACCTAAGGTGATTTTGAATAAAATCAAGAGTAAAGTACGCCTTGTGTGTAAGGCCAGGCAAGCCTTATTGTTAGATCCGGATGTCACACTGCCTGAGTCACTAAGCGCCTATTCAGCTCCTACTGCTGCAGACAGCAGGGCACACAAGACACGTACTGGGCACAGACCAATCGGTACAATCGGTATTTCCCTAAGGTATTTGCAACGTCGTGCTAAATACAACAAAGGGGTTTACCACATTGGGGCAGAGCTCGCCGTCTATTAGAGCCCTTTGCACCCTCAAAAAGAAGAAATTCTCGCACTTGTTGTAGTGGTGACCCATGGCTAGTGGCCTGGTTAGTGGAGAAGTTTGGTGGGCGAATTGTTGATTGCGTGCGCGTGAAGGTGAAATGTGCAAATTCGCGTGAATGACAGGCCACACTGGAAGCTAACTATGACTAGCGGAAATCCTTGTTGTGCTCTCATGCATTTTTGATATTTCCTCCTTCGTTCCATGTTCCTCTTTCACATGCATTGAACAGTCTACAGTGTTAGCCTTCACATTCAGTTTTTTAATGAATGAATATCCAAGCGGAACATTTATTGTCTTGCGAAGTGCGAGGTGTTCCTCGAATGGTTCTGAAAAGCAATATAAGTTGCGAAAACCTTAAGCAGAAGACTTTTAAGCTTGTCCTTGTTTCAGGAGGAATAAGAGGATCAAAAGCGAAAGTGGTGTTGTGCCAAAGGGCACGCTTACCGCACGCCGCAAGGGTACAGCATAGTGGTGTGTGAAAGAGTAGTGTGGGCATGACCCTCACCCCTCCAAGAGACCGAGAGAGGGTGTCAGTACGAGGGTCTCGGTACGAATCCCCCTCCCCCCTTTCCCAACAACTACCTACCAATTTCCCACATACCAGTTTTCACCCAAGAATTCTCAAATTCTCCGTCGAGCGGGCGGAAGGAGGGTGAGGGAGGTAAATAGTGTACATTAAACAGGAAAAATCACGAAAAGTCAACAACCAGGAAAATTTTTTTCCAACGCAGCAAATTGCTCTTAAAGGCACATACGACCCCCCTCTCCCAACGACCAAATACGACCCCTCCTCCCCAGCGGAAAAGTACGACCCCCCTATGTGTTTCACACAACGATGTTGTACCCTCCCTGCACGCCGATCCAAGAATCACATCGCGGATTGGTCCCCGCCTAGGGCCAAGCCTTCTAACGTCGGGGACGATAGATTGATACCGAATTCGTCCGGGAGACTTCTTCCTATATGGTTTCCCAAGCTCGACGTTTTTTCTGTGCTCTGCATTCGTACCATAATGTTGAAGGATTATGGAAAAAAGAAGGATGTAGATACCTTTCACTTTGTTCATTTTGCTTTTAAGTAACTAAGTAGTAACAAAGATTTTAAGTAACTGAACGAAAAATGCCGAGGAAATACGTAACTAACAGCAAAAGCAGCATTAGCACTAGTAAATAATAATAGTCAGTGTCCAAGTAAATAAAAGAAAGGAAAAATAATAGGAAAATAGAACAAGAACGGTTAAGCTGTAATGAATCGGATGCATTTAAATGCGCATTTCACGCTAC